TTTTCTGTTTCTGTTTAATTTGGTTGTATATATTTATTTTTGTGCTGAGACGATCTGAATCTGCATAATCGGGGTGCCTAACACTGATCCATGTTGTTACTTTTGAGAGCATGTCTGTGTGTATTTTTCTGTATGGAGACGCCAAAAACCCCAAAGGCAATTTTACCTGTACCATTAATTATTTGACAGCACTTATTGTGGCCTTTTGGCATGACTAATTCCCTCCAGATTATTATTTTAACACTCTGGGTTTTCTTGTCACCAGCTGACAAACAGAGTTTATCAAAAAGCTAGCAGACTGGAAATCAACCCTCCTCTACATCTCCTTGCAAGGCATAGGTGCTGTACTAAGCATTTATGCCAATACTGCTGATCACTGAGCAGAATGGTCACAATGATTGCACTTCATGTCACCCTGCTTATAAAATCCATTCTTGGGAGCAAAATCATTTTGGGTGGTATGGAAGCTTGTCGTTATGGGTGGTGACTATAAGAGGAAATTAAAGTAGCTGGAGGCCAGAAGACCGAGACCTTTTATTAGCGAGACTGAACCTTTTCATAATTGTGGACTGTCTGTAAGAGACTAGCAGTAAGATTCCTGCATATCTTGCCCTTAGCTGAATTACAGTGACAAGATATATTTCTGAATAAATAAATGTGACACACTAAACCTTCTAACTTTAATCATATAGTTAAAATGTTGGACATGAGAGGAATACTTGAGCCAGTGAATATTTCAGAGCCCCACTGCGGAGCCTATTCATTGGAGGAGTTAGTTATTTGGTATTTTCCCTGTGAAGCAGTGGTTTTGTTTACGACTAATACTACATTAACAATATAATATTCATATATGAATAATAATTCAAATGCAATATCTAGTGTCAATGATGTAAAATCAAAAGAGCCATTTAGTCCATTTACTTCCCTGGATTGTTTCCTGGAGGATGTTTGCTGTTGTTCAGGTTTTAAATGCCTCAGTGATGGGGCGAGGCTTCCACTGTATGTGTGTCCATTGGGCTCCCACTTGGTCTTTGGTAATTTTCATCCAGTAGTTTGCACATTTAGCAGCAAGAGTCCTACTGGGGATCTTTTACTCCTGAGAATATCTGCAAGAGTTTGGTGCTGAGGGCAACATTGTTATTCACATAGAGGCAGTAGGGTTGGTATTTTGTGTTTGTATGTTAAATTGGTTTCTGTTTATTGTTAAATAAACATCATTGTTTGTATCATGTATTTTTAAGCACCAGAAATATGTGGTTGGTGTTGTATAAAACAGAGAGAAAGATGGAAATGCAGGCACGTTTGATGTGATGACACTCAGATGGGTCACCATCAATAGGTTTGGCAGAAAGAGTGAATGTTAGGCAAGATTTGAATGAAGAAAGGTAGTCATCTTTTGCATCAGAAGGCCAGGGAGTTCCAAAGTCAGGCTACCATGGCAGAAAGTATGAAGTCATGAGTGGAAGATAGGGAGTGGTGAGCGGGAGGCACTGAAGGCGCAAAGGCAGTGACAGATGGAAACTTTTGAAGATGATGAGAACACTGTTACATCAAGGAACAAATCCCACTACGTTACCATGAAGGGCCCCGTTACATAGACCTACACAGGCAAAATATCCATTGGCATCAGTGCGTGTTTACCTGCCTCACAAGCTTGATGTCAGGGTCTAAGACTTTTTGTCACAACCCAGATTGAAATCAAGTATGTTACATAATAGAATTGTAATCTAAAATAAGGAATGCTTAAAGATTAATATTAGTTGCTCCATATTTATTATCATCACTATTTGTTTAGCACTGACAATATGATCGGTGCTGTACAAACTACAGAAATAGAGAGTCACTTTCTAGAAGTTCAGACAGATCAAGGCCCTGATCCTGGAAATACTTCCACATGTTCTGAATGTTATGTGTAATCAATGGGGCTACTCATAGCTGTAAAGTGAACCATGTGCATCAGCTTTTGCAGGACTGGGTCCTTAAAGACAAATATTGATGAGACAAGACATACTAGACAACTGTGAAGAGAGAACTTTTTTCCCTTCAGATAATTGTTAAGTAATGTGATTATTACTATGCAGACATTACATATATGTTATTTTTGCCCCACTTCAGAGTAATAATAATTATAATAAAATACTTAGCACTTATTTTAATGCTATACATGTTTAAAGGTTTCCACGGACAGTAATTAATTTATGGTCAAAACTCCCTCGAGAGAGAGATTTTAACTGTTGTCATCCCCATTGTATAGATAGGGGAACTGAGGCAGAGAAGTAAAAGAACTTACCCAAGGAACTGCAGTGAGTTTGTGTCAGAGAAAGCAATTCCTAATTCTCAACTCTGTTTCCATTGGAATAGATCATGACATCATTTTGTATTTTGACATTGATTAAATAAAGTTCATTTTTGTTTGAGGAAAGGAAAATATAAAAGGCCAGGGTATGATTTTTTATGTGTAGAGGAAATAGTCCCAGAAATCAGCCTTAGAATAACAACACCCAAAGAGGAATAACCATTATAAAATAAACCCCTAGTGTTTACTGTCTAACAAATTACAAAAGATTCTATCCCATCTTTGCTTTAGAAATAAAGTTGTGTTGTCATTGTGTCCTTCTTTTAAACACCAACAAATACTAGTCATCTAAAGAAGAGGATCATTAGGATAATGAATTTGCTAAAGTATTGCTGAAAACAGAAATAGCTTAATCATATAGGCTGAAAGTAACATATCTACATCTATATGTACCGTAATATGCATTAAATCCCTATATGTTTTAATCACTAAAGACCAGATTGTTCCATCTGTACTCTCACAGAGTAGTCCCTTACTCTCAAGTAGTCCTATGGATTTCATACTTACTCAAAGTAATAATAACCATTTGAGAGTGGGGTTTCACATCCCTTCATGAACATGGATTAGTGATAAAGTGATTTCATGTAATCTGTAGAAGTAACTCATCATTGAAGCACAAGAAAAATGTGACTTTCGATTTCATAAAACAGCTCAGAGTTAATCCATAACCTGTTCCGCCAGATTCCTGATTAAAAGAAAAGTGGCTTACTAGGAATTTATAAACTGAAAATCCTATTTCACATAAGAGAAAGGCACCAATAAAAAAGGTTTCTTCATTCATTTTTGTAGCATACACTAAACTTGAGTATGTGAAATATTCAAATCATTTAATGAACATGGCTCAAATATTGCCATAAGCAAGAAGAGTTGACAAGAGCTAATGAGATATTACTGTTTTGTTTAGGCACTGAAGTGGGAATCAGCAAACCTGGGTTCTATTCCAGGATCTGCCACTGACCTGTTTGCCTAACCTTGGGGAAGTCACTTCACTTTCTTGTGCCTCAGTTTCCCCTTCTGTAAATTGTGAATAATGATGCATTTGTTTGTATGGCACTTATGG